TTCCGCTCCGTTGTCTGAAGCAGAGCTTTGGCTAGCTTTCCCTGTCGAAGACTAAGGGATTTGGCTCCGTGGAAGCTGCGGTGGTCTATCGCAATCTTGGCTCACAGGTGGCGTCGCCTACACTCACGGGGCGGAAACTTGGCTTTGGCTGGTCTTTCATCTTGGGCGAAAGGCTCAACCTGCTCAGCTGCTTCAGACGGCTAATGTGGCTGGCGAGTGAGGTTTAGGGTTTGGTTTCTTATTGCTGGAGAAGCGCCCTACTTGACATGTGTGTTTACCCCTTTTTCTTGTGTCTTGGATTGGAAGTCTATGTGCAAGGGTCAGTACTTACCCACACTTCCCTTTTCCTAGCCCCAAAAAACATTGCGAAGAATTACAGAAGTCCAATGCCCTGCAAGCAGCCTCATAGTAAGTTCGTGCCTCGGTCCAAGAAAGTGGCTCCATTCTTATGGACGACGTCAGCTGTTCCAGCTCGGCCAGCTCTTCTTCAATGCACCCACAGAGGCACGGCTAAGAGACAATTCCATGTAGTGGTATTGGTCTGTTTTCTTGAGGAAGTCATCTTGCAATTCCTTGCTCAGGCTGGGGTACGCATAATTGCGGGCACTCCGAAGATGTTGGAGTGCGATGCGCGGAGCCAGCGTGCTGCAGTTCTTATCCCTGCACATCCTTCACTGGTTACGTGCAGATTGTTGATGCTGCAACAACCGAAGGAGACACCCTTTCGGAATGTTGTGAACTTCTCTGCAGTGCTTATCCATCTTGCCCTTTTCGGACGGATGACTTGCCAGACCATTGGGTGCTGATTGCAAACGCAGCTTCCGTGAGAGGCAGTTCTTTCGAAGCTTGCTGCACCCGTGCTTGCAGCTTAGTCCAATGCCCAAACAACCAAGTGCTCATTGCAGATGCATCGATGACACCAGCAAATTCAGCCTCTTGTTGTCAGATTGCGTGCAGTGCATTCCAATGCCCTTCTGGCAAGAGCTTGATCACTGATGCCAGTACAACAGCTGGAGCTGATGTCACTACATGTTGTGCGAGTCTTTGCAGTGCTTTTACGTGCCCGTCTCATTACGTACTGATCCAGAATGCAGAAACTGCTGTTGGCAAGGACACCTCTTCTTGCTGCATAGGGTTGTGCAGTGGTCTCCAGTGCCATGCAGGTTACACGCATGTTGCCAACGCGGCCGAAATTTCTGGAGATCATCAAAATTGTTGTGAAGTTGCTTGCTCTTCTTCGTCTTTCCGCTGCCCAGCCGGCTACCTGAAGATTGCCGATGCAGCTACAACAGCAGGGAATGATGCCAACACTTGCTGCGAATCATCATGTGGTAGGTTCTCATGTCCCACAGATTACTTGCCCATAGCAAGTCCAGCCACCACTGTTGGGAGCAGCACCGAAGTTTGTTGTGATCCTGCTTGCAGTTCATTTCAGTGCCCCTCTGGCTACTTGAAGATTGCAGAGCCAGAGGTGACAAAGGGCAGCGATGCCCAAGCCTGCTGCGATGCATCTTGCAGTTTGTTTCAGTGCGTCACAAACTATTTGCAGATTGAGAATGCCACCACAAAGGCTGGTGTCACTGCTGATGTCTGCTGCGATCTTGCTTGCAGTGGGGTCCAGTGCCCGGCTGACTACGTGGCAGTCGCCGATGCAGCCACCAAGCGGGGAGAGGATGCCGGCACCTGTTGTGATGCTCTGTGTAGCGCCTTCAAGTGTCCAACCGGATACCAGGCCATCGGCAGCTCATCTACCGTTGTGGGAAGCAGCATAGGTCAGTGCTGTGACAGCCTTTGCAGTGCTGTCAAGTGCGCAGCGGGCTACATCACAAAACCGGATAGAATCACAGCAGTGGGCAGCACCCAGGAGTTCTGCTGCCAGGAAGCTGAACTCGGCTTCTGTCAGCCTCCGGTTCTGGGGACAGGTTTGGAGGAGCGAAAGGTCGCTTTTCATGCCCGGACTCAACAGGAGAGCACTGTTTGTGATCGCCAAAATCCGCCTGTGACAGATGCCATGATGACCAGCTACTGCGACGCCTTTTGTCAGACTGGTGGTGAGAAGGTGTCTTTGCCCCTGCAACTGGGAGCCAAGGCCTTTGGATTCAACTTGGACAGCATGAACCAGATTTGCACAGGAACCGTCGGGGAGTTCAACGCCTCCCAACAAGAATTCTGTCGGGTGCGTGCAAATGCCTTGATCGACATGGAGCTGCGTGCCGCTGATTTCGTTGCTCGAGTGGAAGAATTCAAGATGGAGCAACTTGCGTTCAAAGCTGCCATGAAGTCGAAGGCTGCCGAGCTGCAAGAGCGTTTATCCAGTGAGGAGTTCAAAGACGAGATGGCAACGGCCCGCAACAAGGTGGATGCCTTGAAGTCTCAGTTTGAGCTCTTTGCCGCTGATATTGGCAAGAATTCAACAAGTGGACAGTACGTGAAAGATGGGCTTGATGCTCTCAAGACCAGCGCACAGCTGCTCACAATCTCTGTCACAGAAAACCTTGAACGTTTCGAGGATTTTCTGAACAATTGCAATCAGATGATGCTCGCTCGAGGCCCTCTGCTCTCAGGAGAACATTGCGTGCATCGAAACTTCTGATGCTGGACATGTGGGTTGCTGCTGTGGTGTAAACCCTGTGGTTTCTGGGACTGTCCTGATCGATGGTCTGAGCGGACCTATGTTCATGGATGATGCAAAGGCCTTCGTAAGTTCAGGAAGGCGCCTGGCAGGAGGTCTGGGGATAGACATCTGTTCCGAGGCCAAGAAAGATGCTTCAAACAAGCTGTCTGCGACAAAGGATCGAGTGAAGGAGCTTGGGCAGGAAGACTTGATCTCAAGCCTTGAAGCAGAACTACGCTCGTCCTATCCTGACTACTTTCAGTCTTGCGTGCTGGGCCAAGAAAGGCTCCTTCAAGAAGATGCCCAACACCAGCAGCCCAGCTACATGAGCCAAACGGAAGGCCAGAGCCCTTCCCGTAGAATGCAGAATCTGGTTCAGTGCACGTTGCAGCAACACCAGGCAACTGGCCTAAAAGTTGCCTTCTCGAACACCTTAGAGAAGGATACCTGTGCGCTCCAATCTCCGCAGGTGACAAATGCCAAGATGCGGGAGCAGTGCGATGCATTTTGTGGCGCCAATACAGTGTCACTGCTCATTGGTTCCGAGACTTTCGGCTTTCCCATGAGTGCCTCCGAGAACATTTGTTTGCCTCCCAGCGGAGTCTTGAAACATGATCCCACGCACTTACAGCAGTGTAGCTCATGGTCCCTTGCATTTCGGCAAATCGAAGAGGCTGCAGCTACGTTCATTGAGAATGTCTACGTCTTCAATGCAACGCGGATTGAGTTCTTCAGTGCGACACAGTTGGCGGTGGAAGCAATCCAAAGCTATGTCGCCAGTGAGGAGTACACCAATCAGCTGCAGAGAGTGGGCAACAAAGTGGAGTTTGTGATCAATGCTGTCCAGAGCAGGCTAAATGACTATATTACTATTACTATCATCTTTATTACTATTGTATTATCTGTATTACCATTACTATTATCTTGCTTACTATTACCTCTTTTTTTTTTATCACAATTGCTACTTGAATACTCTTACTATTTTTATTGCCATTACTCTTACTGCTACTATTACTATTACGTTTACTATTACTATTGCTACTGTCCAGAGCAGGCTGAATTCCGAAGACCTTCGGCTTGCTCGGTCAAGGCTTCAAACTGAGATTGACCGCTTGAAGCTCGCAGCAGGGAACCTCAGGACTGTCTTGGACGAGAAAACTGAACTCATTGCACGATTCTTGGATGAATGCAATGAGCTCTACGTGGGTACCGGTCCTTCAGGAGAGTATTTGTTGGACATATGCGCGCAGGGCAACATCGAGTGCCTGGAGAATGAGCAGTTTGGTGAACATGTCACCTGCTGCTGCGGCTATCATCCTGCCACGGCCTATGGTGAAGTCATTTCAAGCCAGCTCATTGATGGAATTGCCTCTTTCGATGCTCCAGCACGAGTCGGACGTCGATTGACCGGAGAAGAAAGAGCAGCAGGGTCATTCTGGTATAGACTGGTCACATCATGGAACTCTAGGACCCTGCGCCCGGAAGCAAAGGCAGTCTTCTTGAGCCAGACCCCTTGCAGCACGTGCCAGTAATCCCCATCCACATTAAGGTAGAAAGCCCCATGGCATGGTGTGCACTTGACTCATCAGGCAATGGACATCTGTGCCAGTGCCTGGGAGGGAGCATCTCCGAAGGTTGGAGAGATCTATGCTCGTGTCAATGACATGGGCAAGGAGGAGCTGGTGGAAGCTGGATCAAGGTAAAAGTGAGTTTTCGTGTCGAGGCCTTCGGGCAGATTTTTAACGTGTTCTGAACCTTAAAGGACAAGATGGAACTGAGATGATCTATGTATCAGGATCCTCCCTAGATTTGAGACCCAGGAGACAGTAAACCAGCGCTTGACAGCTCAATATGGCTCCGGCTTCTGCGGCTTCCGGGCCCGGGCTGCAGCTGCAGGATCCAACTTACTCCTTAACATTCATTTCTGCTTTTTGGGAGTGCCCTTCAGTTCTTGAGGGTACAAGGGTGGACCGAGTTTGATGCGGACACCCGGTAGGATCCGCGTCGTCCTCGTCGTCATTGCCACCATCGACGTCTTCGACACCTACCGAAAGCCAAGAGCAAGGCCCACGAGATGAAGCTTGGATCCGAAGCATTAGGGCACCCGAAAAATGGCGCCCAGCATCTTCTAATCCCACTTATAAGGATCCCTGAAAAGAGAATCATGGTAGAACCTGTTGCTGTATTTTTTAAATGGCCACTGGGGGGGGGGGGGCGAGCAGGAGTGGAATTTTGAAGTGTTTCTGAGGACCTTCCAGGCAACGAGAGTGGTTTGCTGAGAACCAGTGCGACCGCACGTAGTGCTGGCTTCTTGTCAGCCTTTGTGTGGATGTGGACCCTCTTCTTTTCAGGAGTTGCACTTTGAATTCGTAATTCTTTTTGGTTGGCCTTGCGGATGACCTAACACTTCCCCTCATGGGTTCAGCATGATCTTTTGCTTGGATATTCCTCGGAGGGCTGGAAAGGTCAACGCAACATATTTTGTCAGCTGGAACTCCCTTTGTGGGATGGTTGGCGTACTGCTGCGCCCCGTAATGGAGATGCGCATGCCTTCACTAAAAGGTGCTTGCTACCTTCCAGAAAAGGCAGAGCCTAAAGGGTGGATGCCTCTAAACCAGAACTACATTTCGAAAGGACCATGTTGCTCCCGTATGGATCTTCGCCAACGGCGAGAGACACATCCTTTGAAGTGCTGCATTGCAGAGGCTAAGCCAAAAAGGATGTTGGACTCATCTTCCTGGTTTCTCCTAAATGCAAGGAACAGCAAAGCATTGGGGACCATTTGCATCATGATGTCCCTTCCCGCAACTGTTTCATGGATGGCGGAAGAACTTGACTTAAGGCTGCTGTGGCACCTGTGCAGGAATGCAGCCAGACGATGTTCCCCAACTGACTGTGCCGTCATCTCTGCTGAGCTAAATCGAATCGCGCCACGAGCTTGGTTCAAGAGCCTGTCAAAGTTAGCCTTCATCAGCAAGATGTCTCATGGTCGCATCATGTCGCATCCTCATGTTACAGTGTCATCGTATACTGCACAGCGCTCCCCCAAGACATGCAGATTCGGCTTCTCAGCGCCACACTCATCTTGCTTGATGCGTGGGTCTTCTTTAGGCGCTGCTCAGCACAATTCAGCTGAACAGCAGTGTTTAGGTGCGACTGCCAAAGTTTTCTTCGCTCTCTAAGGGAATGCGCAGAAGGAAGCCATGACCATCCTGTTTTACACATATGTGTTGTCAGTATGTGAGTTTTACATTATCGAGGAACGGACTGTAAGGCAGCTGAATGGTAAAAAAAAGGGTCGAGCTTGTGAGCCTTTTCATTTCTTGGGATCAGCGGCTGGTGGTACGAGCCGTGAGGAGGCCTGCTGCATGTTCATTTCCTTGCTGTTTGTGGCAGCAGTGCCAATGCTTGTGCCGGGGCGGTGGTGACGGTGCTGACGGGGACACTGCAGACGTATGACTTGTGGGGTATGTCAGTTGCTACCTAGCCCAGTTGTGTTGGCGTATGGGAATGACACTGAAGACCAGTGACCCTGTGCTCCACAGGTGCAGAAAGCGCAGTCGGCCGTGCGGCAGATCCTCATGGCTTTGACCGGCTTGTTGATGGCTTGATGTTGCTATGGCAGGGGTGTTCCCAGAGAGAATAGATTGAAGTACACGGAAGGGTCTGAATCTAGACATAGACATTCCCTACCTGGCGCCTGACTGGCATGGGGCAGCCAGGCAGCCCTTTTCGGCAAGGGGGTTGCAGGCGTGAGACTCGCAAAGGTCTTTGCTGGATAGGTCCTCGGCCCATCCAAATTTGAACAAAACTCAGCTGAAGGACCTGGACCAGAGGTGGTCATCATCGCCTTGCGTTCAAACATGAAATTGATCCCCTTGCGTGTGTACCGTGTGTGCCAGATACTTCTGATCCACATCGTGAAGAAGCTCGCGTGATCTCATGAGGTTGTGATGCTTTTGCCCTATATGACAGAGACCGTCATGCAAGTAGCTGGATGTACGCATTCCGGATGCTCAAGCTTGACCTTTCTCGTTTTGTGCCTGTACTTTACTGCTTATGTTGGCAGGCTGCGTGAAAGATGCATCCAGTCTAATTGCTGGCGTAAAGATTTTGTTTCACCATGTGCCCTGGACGCATATAGATTAGATTCATTGATCTGAGGGCTCTGGCCATGGTATTTTTTGACATAGTCTATGACAGTTTTCCCTGCCCATTGCACGTACAAGACCTTGAGTTAACCGCGCGAACATAAAAGTGATTTTGTCCGCTCCTTGTGAGGGTGGCCTGAGGATCATCCTTGAGATTCTCGCAGCTTCATCATCACTATCAGCACTGTCATGCTTCTATGGTCTGACCATCCTAATTTCGGCTTCCGTTCCTGGGGTTTGGGGATTTTCGCGCCGCTCATGGTGGTGCGGAATGGAAGTAGTACCAGCTTTCGCCAGTGGATTCAGTTGTGGCAGGACCAACATAATCATTAGGCTGGATTTCCACATGCTTGTTTCCCTTGCATTTTTTGAATTCTTCGCAGCAAGGAATTTGGAGCAATGACAAGCGTCAAAGATTGCATGAGGAAGGTAATCTGCCAGTGAACCCGTCGAAAATCACATAGGTCCCTTCCAGCCCTTCTTATGAACCAGAAAACGCGCGGGTTCGACTTTGCTGGATTCATGAAGAGAAAGAACACATCCAGGACGCGCAGAATTCAGCCCAGCCTTGCACGTCAACCTAGAGATTAGTTTTTTTTCCTGGTGGCGAATGCCAATAAGAAAACAGCCTAAAGCGTCGATCATCCTCATGTAGCCATGGCTATGAGCCCCACGGAACTGGAGGAGTTGCAGGCCAAGGTGAACAGCCTTGTGTCCTTGCTCTCTGGTGATGAGCCTCGTGCGGCGCGCAGCCGCAGCCGTGATCGGTCTCGAGATCGGAATGTCCGGGACACCGGACGATCCCGTTCTCGGCAAAGGGACGGGCATAGCTCCCGGCGTTATGAAAGTGGAAATGTGATTCTGCGAGAGCGCGCGCCGCGGGACCGCAGTGACGAACGCCGGAAAGAACGTGAGCCAAGAGACCGAGAGCATCGTGAAAAAGACCGCCGGGACCGTGACCACCGAGAGCGAGAGCCCAGGGAGCGGGATCACCGCGATCGAGACCGGAGTGATGGACATCGTCGTGATTTTTCCAGTCGTGAGATTCGCGACCGAGACAGGGTCCGTGGTGACTCCCGGGACAGGCCACGTGTTTACTTTATGCTTGGCATCACGTTTCTTTCTTTAAGTCGAGCCACCTCTGGTCCCTTCAGGCGGCAGTCTTCGCGAGATGATCGCAAAAGAGCACGTGAAGGCCATCGGCAGTGCGCAGGTACGTGCCAATCACACGGACACACCTGCAGCGAGCTGAGCTGCCCTAGCCTGCTAAAGGCTTTCCCTTCACTGCACATGCAAAGCCATGTTGAGCGGAGCGCTCAAGTGCTCAGGAGTATAGTCCCCCTTAAGTAGATAGAATATGGTTTTGGGTATATTATAATAAGATCCCCATATACCCCATATTCTATCTACTTAAGGGGGACTATAACCCTCAACCCCAAGCCCTAAACCCTCAACCCTATATCCTATCTACTTAAGGGGGACTATAAACAGTCTAAGGGCTAAAAGAGATTTCGCTCAAAGCTGGTTCTTGCCAGATGCCAGTGAGCGCTGTTCGCGGCGGAGCCGAAGTCGGCGGCGAGGCCCAGGGGTTTTTGTGTGAAACTTTTAACGCTATTATCCCACTATACTGGGGTTTTATAGGGGTTATATAGGGATAATGGAAAAGAAAATGGAAACTACTACATTGTAATAGGGTAAATATTGGGGGTATATTGGGATAATGGAGAAGAAAATGGAAACTATAGGGATTATGGGGGTTATATAGGGATTCTAGGGTATATATTGGGGATATATTGGGACAATGGAAAAGAAAATGGAAACTTCTATAATATGTAGGGATTATATTCTAATATGGGTCTGGAGCCCTGGGCTGACTTTGCCCTGTTCATGCCTGGATTCAGACATGTTAGGAAATGCATGTTGGATTTTGCAAGGCAACTTTTCGGACTCGCCGCTCGCGTCGATGGTTGGCCACAGCGCCGAGATGCTTGTGCGATGTAGTCTTGACAACCTTCGTTGATCCTGTTTAGATGCTGGATCATAGCATGCTTAACTCCAGTTCACAGCCATCTGCAAGCTTGCCCTGTCCCAGCATTTCGCGAGGCCCTGGGCCTGGTTCTTCAGGCCGTGACCAGGCCAGGAATCCTGTGCACGTTGGCTTGTTTGCTTCCAGGCTTTGAACCTTAAAAGTCCAAGTCTCTGAGCTTGCTCCGTTGTCAGAACATGATGTGGCTATGTTGCTTGAGATCCGGGGCTGTCAGCTTGAGAGTGCAGGTGCCCATCGGAGGCCGTGGCTTTCACGCACGGTTCGTGGTCTTGTGAGTTTTACGGGTTCACGGTAGTTACTGAAGTGTTGCTCAACGTAACTTGGAGCAGTTGTTCCTTTCCGGGTCTTGCCGGGGCGACTATCTTGACGTGAAGCAGCCTACATCCAGTATCATTCGGCACATTTTGGTGATTTAATGCAGATGGAGGACCCTGAAGGACCTTTTCGCCTATGTGGATGGGCTGTAAGCATCGGCCTTCACCGCGCAGACTTTACGGCTGGAAATGGTTTCTTGGACTAGGTTCGGTCAGTTGTGAGATGGTTGTAGGGCTCCCAAGGCACCCTGTGAGCCACCATCGGCATGCCAGCCACCTTGGAGCCTTAGAGCCGATGACAACTCCATGGTCATCAAAAGTTCTTGTATCCTGGATGAAGTGTAGATCTCTCCATGGGTTTCCGTCCAAAACAGAAAGAAGGCGAGAGAGAGAGAGAGAGAGAGATGCGTTACCTCGATCATGGGTACATGTGGGTCCCAGCATGTTTGAAACCACGAGGGGTACCGACTAATCATGCCCAACACGGGCTGGGCATTGACGCCCGGGGGGGGGCCTAGGCCCTCTCCCATAGCCTGACCGAAAGAAAGAAAGAAAGAGAGAGAGAGAGAGAGCACGCAAATAAATTGATCCACTACCACATGATCCTTGAAGTCAGGGATGTGGATATCTCTTCTGTGAGATGGTTGAGTTTGGTTCTCACCAACGCTCCAAACGGGGTAGGCCACACGTGCGCCCGCAACAGACAAAGTTCTTTTTTATCCCAAGATGCATGATGTCTTGCATCGACAGGTGCGGTCAGTGCTGCCCGGTCGTCACCTTCCAGCGGTGAGGTGCGCCAATGTCCACGATGCAACAGAAAGAGCCCAAGTCAACATCCTATGCAGAGTGCCCACCAGCAGACCTGTAGCAGGAGACGTAGGTCGAAGCCAGCGGCGCACACCATGAGAGAGATTGTTGAGCTTCAAGTCATGGCAGGACCTGAGGCGAGCTTCGACGCCTGTGCCGCAAGCCATAGGTGTCCTGGTTCTGGCATGTGGCGTTCGATGTGGCATTATGTCATGTTTTATCGTGAAGGTGACTGGCGGGGATACCCATGCCCAACCTGAAAATTGCCAGCTGTTGAGAGGTGCAAGGACGCCGCCGCCAATAGGCCGGCTGCGGAAAACGATGCCATGAAACCTGGGAACCCTTGAACGCTGGGATGTAGCCCTCACTGACGACAGAATCAACATAGTTGTGGTATTTGTAGCAGTACTGAAGGAAGCGCTCTGAGGATTTTCAAGTTGATCTGGGTGCAAAGTTGCACCAATTGTGGAAGTAAGGCTAAGGCTGCTCATACGTATCTTGCAATATTTCGTGCTCTGTTGGCAGTGGCTCTTGTGTTCGCCGTTGGTCACGCGTAATTATTCTGAGCTCCCATGCGCTAGATCCATGTGAGGTGGCGGCAGCACAAGCACGCAGAATGGCTTGAAGGGCACCCCAGCAGATAAGGCAGCGCTTTGGGAATCAGGGCACTGATGCACACACTTTGAAAGAGTTGTGTTCGAATTTTTGCATAAGTGCCTTTGTCATTGCATAGCCAGCTGGTAACAGAATGACCTTGACTCTGCTCGTTCCTTGTAGCCAGGCGAAGCCTGCCAGCTCTTCCAATGCGGAGGGTGTGCGTCTCAGCCCGGTTTCATTGGAAGCGGTTTGGACCTGTGCTATCTGAAGCCTGACCAGATGGATGGAATTCAGGGATGTAGTGCCGATCAGAATTGCGCGACATCGCAATCAACAAAAACACCGTGAAGTCTTGGCAAGGGTACTGATTCCTGAAGCACCGACCAGCCGAACTCTGTGACGAATCAGCTTGGCGCAGACATCTGGCATTACTGCTCAGCCGGACGGCTCTGCGTTCACGCCTGCTCATCTGTGGCTTTTGTAGGCAGTGCAGCTCGTTCCAGTCTGGAGGCGCCCTGAGTGGTTTGAAGTTTGTGCATGCCAATTTGCATTGTGAGCTGCTCTTTTGCTGGCATCACATGACCAGGTGCACCTCAAACATGATCATGGGTGTAACTGGGAAAGTTCATTGCCATGTTCCGAATTTGGTATGATTCCGCTGCCGGGCTTGGAGCTACTCCCTCTCTCTTTCCTCTCTCAGCCATGGCTGCCTCCAGCTCGCAAGATCCACCGCAACCAACGTATCCAAATTACCCAGAGGCTCGAGCATAGGTCTTTCGTGCCCGTTTCATTGAGGGATCTGTGCCCTGGCCCAGATGGTTGACTGCATGATCTGCAGAGGGAAAGAGGTGGCCAAGCGGCGTCCGGGCTATCGGATGACCTGTGCGGACTGCACCAAGTGCCAGGCTCACCAGCAATGAGGAAGCTTCTACGTGTGTTGGTTTCCTGAGATGGGACCTAAAACAGAAGGTGTTCCTATCACTCACTAGGCCCTGCGGTATCTCTTATGAAGACTTCTGGGCCAGGGCCGGTTCTGTGTCAAGTGCCGGGGGCCCTGGTTTGTGCCTTTGCTGCAGCTTGAGAATTTCTGTTCCGTGCAATGTAGAAGCCTCTTGAGGCCAAGAAAGGCAAGAATGTCACTAGGAACCTAAAGGCCTTGATTTTAGTGGCGTTTTATTGGGGTTATATTGGGGTTATATAGGGGTTATATAGGGGCTATGATTGGGGCCAAACAAACCAGAAAATCTGGTTTCTCATGTGAACTTCATGCGTTGAGTCTTGAAGGCTGCTGTGTTGCATAGTTGCATGATGAGGCAGGGTACTGGATTACCAGCCTTTGCAGAGAAGCTCAGGAGACTCATAGCTGTAAAGTTTTCTTGGACGAGTTCGAGCTGTTCAAGGACCTGGAGTGGTTCTTCCGAAAGTGTCTCGGCTGTCCTGTGTCATGCTGAGCATCATGTTGAGCGTGTAAGTTCACTGCCATCGGTACGATTTCAATCGGCCCAAATCTTGACGGCCCAAATGAGCCGGGCACAAAAACGGCAGAAGGACTCAATTTACAATTGTGTAGCTGCAAGTCTACTCTGCACCTGGCCATGAGGGGCGAGCAGATTGACGACTTTCGGGAGAACTTGCAGCCGCCCCTCACCTGACTTGTGAGGAAGCATGAATGAAAGCTAATAGAGTCGGGAATTCAGTGACTGTTCCCCTTGCGGTCTGGCCGGGAAATGTTTCAGGAATTTGAGGTATGGTAACAGCACTAGATTTGCAAGCCTACGGCCTATGGTGAGCTATAATTTCACGAGCGGAAACATTGTGTATTCGTGATGTATTGCATGCTGATGTTGAGGTTTGGCTACAAGATGTGTCCTGGATGCTTCCAGCCAGTCATCAAGGATAATGAGGACGACTGCGATCACATCTACTGCGGCACCTCGATTCATAACTGCATGGTCGACCTCCGACATTAATCCGAATGCATGATTCAATGCAAAGCGTTAACATGAGAATGGCTGAACCCCACCTTCTTCTTTTGCTTTTGCCGTGCCAGTCACTTGGGGGGTCAGGGGGGCGTAGTAAGTAGGTTAATAAGGGGATAAATGGGGTTACTAAAAGGGATATAGGGGCTATTAACCTACTTACTAAGTCTCCCTGACCCTCCAAGCAGGTAACCCGAAGTGTCGCATGGAGTTCTGCTGGAAGTGCTTGGCGAACAGGAAGGTCATAGAGGTGCACGGCAATCACCACCATAAGTTGCTGCGATGCAAGGAAAAAAGGGAGGAGATGTCCCGACGAAAGATACTTTACTCTATAGGGTTTAGGGTTTAGGGCTTAGGGGGTGGTTGTCAAAATTATGGTACCCATTAGGGAAATATTAGGGTTATGTTGGGGTTCTATGGGGGACAATGGAAAAGAAAACGGACACTACCATAATGGGTTAAATTTGCAGATCTACCCTTGCCAGGGTGCTAGACTGATCTGAGGCCAAAGTGCCCCTACTACTTCGAGTATGATGGAAAGGATGAGTACAAGCCTGACAAGTGTGACCTAGCTGCTAGAGTCTTGACTGTGCTGCCCTCTTTCAAGGTAGATGCATGAATTTGGATGCTCACCTGCCTGCTCAAGGTGATGTCTGCAAGAAGCCGGAGCCTCAGATCTGTCGCACTCACCGCATGCATGAGACATCCCTGGACAGGTATCAGCGCTGCTGCATCACGCCGCTGGCATATTCAAAGATGAGCAAGCCCCAGCGTGAAGGCACTTTGTTTATGCCATGTTTTGTCCAGGAATCCGCAGCGTTGAAATTGTGATGCAACCTCACTCGAAATGGCAGAAACGTTCCAAAGCATTGTATTTCAGGCTTCACCTTTTCTTGCACAGCGGCTCATATGAGCTATAGTCTAAACTCCGTAAAGGGGGGGTACATAGGGGATTATATAGGGGACTACTAGAAGGGTTTTTTTAGGGGGATACTAGGAGTTTAGAAAATGGCTCATATCAACACGGGTGGCCAGGTTATCCACCAGAGGGTTGGACAGCTTACGCTGTGCGCAAGGAGAAGGAGTTCGAGGCCCCTGAAGCCGTTTGAGTTTCGATGTTGTTCGTTGTGACATATGTACTGTAGTCTAAACTTCTTAAAGGTGGTTATATAAGGGATCATATAGGGGACTACTATAGGGCTTACGAAGCGGGATGCTAGGAGTTTAGACTATGGCTCATATGTGCTTGTCTTTTGACTTGGTGCCAAGCTGAGTTTGTATCTGCTTGCATCTGTACTGTTAACACACATTGCCATGCAGGAGGCCCTAGAACTATCTATGTATACAAACATCTACACACATTTCTATGTACATAGGATATTGCTGCGCTGCGTCGATGGTGCAAGACGAGACAATTGGGGTTTGTCATGCGTCCTGCATCTTGTGCAGCATGCGCTGCTGCAGTGTGAACCTAAGTTGGTATCATTACCGTCCGGTTCGCCAAGACAATTTCGTGTCGAGACCTCTGCTTCGATTTCAAGAATCGGCGCTAAGGCTTTCTGCCGGGCATCTTGTTCTGGTATTGGTGCTGCCTCAGCCGAATCCTAGGAGTCGTACCTGGCCTGATAACAGCAGTTGAAGCAATGATCTCAAATTCTCTTCCTCCTATTTAGTTTCCCTACCTTGCAATGCTGGGGGCCTGTAGCAGGAAAAGAAGAAGGACAAGGAGCGCCGGAGGCAGCGTCGCGAAGCACGCCGGCAGCAGCTGAAGGAAGAAGAGGCTCCCGGAGCGAGGGGAAAAGGGTTTCAGGTTGTCAGGCAGATTTTTCAGGCTATTGGAGATGGCCATATGCTCCAAACGAAAGCAATTTTTTCTTGAGTGGCACAGCATGAAGCTGAAGAAATGAGTAGATTGAAAAGCTTCGTGCCGATTGCGGCCGTGGTGCATATGACTGAGCTCTTCTGGGTATATCTGGGCTCTTGTAGAACAAAATTTTACATCTTTATGGGTACCTGGGCCCAATATCAATGAAATACGATCCTTTTTTAATTGTATTTCAACAAGAACCTAGATATGTTCATCAAAGTTGTGCCTTGCTTTTTCTTGTCGGGTCCGCCTTTCATGGGGCGGCTGCATGAATGGATGAGGGTGTAATTGCAACTACTTAGCGTAAGCCTGCTTTTGGTCTTGTCCCGGGTGCACTCGCCAAAGCTTACACCCTAAACCTCTACAAGTAGTTTCCATTTTATTTTCCATTATCCCAATACAACCCCAATACAACCCCAATATAACCCCAATACAACCCCAATATAACCCCAATTTAACCCCACTATAACCCCAATGTAACCCCAATATCACCCCAATACAACCCCACTATAACCCCACTGTAACCCCACTATAACCCCAATATAGCCCCTATATAACCCCAATACAATCCCAATACAGCCCTACTATACCCCCAATATAACCCAATACAACCCCAATATAATCCCAATAAAGCCAGGAGGCTGGCATCCTGGGTTTTGTGCAGCGCCTGTTCAATCCAAGCAGCTCGCCGAGCAGCTCGACGCCGGAGTGAGAATGGAACTTCCATGGGGTTATATTGGGGTTTAGGGTTTAGGGTTTAGGGTGGGGTTATGTGGGGGTTGTATTGGGGTTCTATGGGGGTTGTATTGGGGTTATATAGGGGTTATAGTGGGGTTGTATTAGGATAATGGCAAATAAAATGCACGTTGCAGGGCTTTTCCGCCCCAGGCACATGCTGAAGCATGTTAGTTTTTGCTGGGTGCTTTCTGAACTCTTCTTTTTGCAGTTTGCAACAACTCGGGTTGACAAAGCACACAACCGGGTGCCGCAAGTTGTCCATCATACTCCGCACCACAATTCTAGGTGGCGAAGGCACCAGTAAGCAGCTGAGGCTGTAGATCATAACAGGAAGCCCGTTTCAAAATGCTGTATTTTTGTGAAGACTGCAAACTGCCCAAACTTGTTTGGCGACATGGGAGCATTCCTCAAAAGGACCTGCGGCTCTGTGGCCAGAATCTCTTGCAGGGACAGCCTTTTGGAGGCACGTAGGAACAAACCACGACTCGGGGCCTGAATGACTCGTGGCTTTGTAAGTCCGGCACTTGGCCCTGACTTCCCACTCTGGGTTCTTGCAAGTGAAGTTTGGTGTTGCAGCTGCACTGTAGGAAGGATCGTTGCAGCTGCAACATCATTAGCTTCTGGATTTCTCAGGAGTGGGGATCAAGGATCCTTTGTCACATTTCGGGCGAAAAGTTGCTGGCTGCAAGTTTCATACCAACTCGCCTGTATACTTGGCCTTGCATGCATGGTGTTTAAGGTATTCTAAAAGGATGCTGCTGGCATTCAACCTTGAATCTGCCCGCATGCTTGGAAACTGGCATGTGCCAGGGGCCCACGGTGGAGATTGAGCAGAATTACGAGGAAGGTCTTTTCCGAGGCTGGTCAGCTTGGATTGTGGAGGCTGTGGCTGAGCACAAACTCACATGATGGGAAAGATGAGTATGCCTGCGATTGCTTGCGCTTCCAACAATTCCACTGAGACTAACACATCTGGCTGTCACAGGACACTGATGAAGCTATCCGGCTTTCATGTATCACCGTCGCTGCTATTGATGTTCACATATTTCTGCAAAATGGATTTTGGGAGATGATGCTCAAGAAGATCACGATGACGACAATGCCGACGAGGATGAGGTTGACGACGACAATAACGATGATGATTATGATGATGATGCTGGTGGTGGTGGTGATGATGATGCTGGTGGTGGTGAGAAACAGTCATGGACAATCCCGCCCAATGGGATGTCAGCGTCCTAGTAGTATCGACAAGCATCAGTACTCTGTTAATCCTGATAAAAGTGACTGTTGATCTCGGGCGAGACTGAAGTAGTGGCCATCGTTCTTGATGATCCACTTGAGTTTGGTTAAGCCTTGTCAAGTTGATAGCAGGAAGTGTCAGAGGGTTTTTGTTCTTCGCCAGTCCTCTTCCGGCGGCCTCTGGCCGCCACTAGCCGCTGCGAGCGGCTCCTTTGGGGTCCCTGGCGGCCACATTCTGGGCAGGCTGGGTCAGGATTTTTTTTTGGCCGAAGTAGTTTGATACAGAGAGCTCTAGTCGCCAAGGAGCATTTGCGTGCGGGCAGAGCTGCCATTCCCACTGCCTGCCTCTATTCTTGGTGCTAGTCTTTTTGGCAATTTGACATGGTACTTCATCCTGACCGTACGACCTGCGTTACTACTCCTGAGCTTGCCTTGCCTTGTTTTGCAAAAGTTTGAGATCCGGCGGAATCGAGACAATGGCAGCTCAAAAAATCCAAGGGCAGATCCACAGGAAGTCGTGAACCTGATGCCTTGAATGTTCTTTCCTGTTTACGCGTGAGGAGGCATGCGTTGCTTGCCACACGAGCTGCAATCCTTTTTCTCCATTCAGGCATCCCGAGATGGAGAACAGCTCAAAGCGGCTGTTCATGGGGTGGTGGGCTACCCGGCATTTCTGCATCGGTGAATCGGTGAGAGGAAGAGTCTTTGTTTTCATCAGAGATCAGCTTTAGGAAGGCAACTCTTGAATGCGATGAGCCAACTAACAAGCTGGACAGTTTGGGCATAGTCATTCCAAGTTGGGCCTGCGCTACTTCACAGGGCAAAGTCGAGCTGGAACCACGGCGTTTAGGAGGCATTAATATAAGAAGCGTTGCTCTCAGCAACTCTGGGCGACTCTTTCAAAGAGGGCTCTTTGTGGCCTGGAGAGGAATTTTGTCTGAATTGCGGGCTACGAAAGCATAGTTTATAGGCAAACTATTAGGGCAGGCCGAACGACGGGGGAGAACTGCAGCGGTACGTACGAGTAGGCGCTTGGTGCGCTATGCTGAACTTGCTTGGAGTGCAGCTTGAACATGCCTCGCGCTCGGGTCCATGCAGCAAGCTCTTACCATAATGTCCGGAAGCCCATGCTGGTCTTGAGCTGAGGAGGCGGCGTCCATGGCCAGCAAGCTGCTGGAAGCTGCGGGGCACCCGAAACTTCGAAGTCCGAGATTGGAGTTGGCTGTTGTTGACAAGCATGTTTAGGGTTTAGGGTGCAGTCTCAGCAGCAATGGTGCTTTTTATGAAGCTTTTGTCTGCCAGAACGTTCTCAATGGCCTTAGCCTTAGCTCGACACCGCTCCAAGTTTCAATCTACCTGTGCAAATGAGCTATAATCTAAACTCCTTCAAGGGGGTTATACAGGGGAGTAGTATAGGGGTTATTAAGGGGGATACTAGGAATTTAGACTACAACCATAATCCCTTACATAACCCTTATATAGCAGTTTCCATGTCATTTTCCATT